CCCCCCGCCCCTCGCGGACCCCCCGCCCCTCGCGGACCCCCCGCCCCCCCCACCGCCCCGCGCAGCGGGGGGCGGGGCGGGGCGCGCGGCCGGATGTTGTTGTTGTTGTTCCTGCCCCGCCCCGCCCCTCCCCCCGCGGAGGGTGTCGGGCGCTTCCCCGCCCGGAGCCGCCGCCGCTCCAGCCCCGCCGCGGCCTCGCCGCCCGGCCTGGCCCGGCCCGGCCCCGGGGCGCCCCGCCCGCCCCCTCCCGCCCACCTCCGCGGCCGGCTCCCGTCGCGTCGCCCCGGTTCCTCTGTCTCAACGGACGCCCCGGCCCGGCCATGGCGGACTTTGATGAGATCTACGAGGAGGAGGAGGACGAGGAGCGGGCACTTGAGGAGCAGCTCCTCAAGTACTCCCCCGACCCGGTGGTGGTGCGAGGCTCCGGCCATGTCACCGTGTAAGGGCCGCGCCGGGGCCTGCGTGGCCGGGGTGGGCGGTGGAGGAGGAGGCCCGGGCGGCGGGACGGGGGCGGCCGGGGGCTCCGAGCCCGCGGGGACAACTCGGGGCGAGTCGGGGGCAGGCGGGGGGAGCGCCGGGCCGGGACTGCTGCCCTTCCCCGGCGGCCGTGGTGCTGCGAGGCGGCTCTTCCCGGCCCTGCCGGGCAGCTGGAGCCGCCTGGGACTCGCAAGCGGGTGCAAACCTCCACCCAGGCGCTGAGGAAACAAGGCTGCCATGGGCTGTGACTGGCGGAGGAATGTGAAGTATTTGTCCAAAATGATGAGCTGTCAGGAAGTCAGGCTGTGTTCCTGTGTATAACAGGTATGTGCCAGCACATGACCGCCTGGACTATTGCTTAGGGTTGTTTATGTACCTGTTTCCCACTCCCGTTTAACATGTGGCCGCTAATATAGCTCTGAGGGCTTTAACAAAGAAAAGGCACCAGTTAGATAGGCACATGTAAAATTATGTGAAGTTGTGATTGATTCAATCAGTTGAACTGTAGTTGTTGTCAGTTATGAGGTTTACTATCAGAAGCTGAAGTATCAAGCTGGAGACAACACTTGGTAGTACAAACTGGTTTTTTTTAGCCTTCAGTGTTCAGCAGGACTAGTCTGGTAATAGAGACATAAAAGTTGAAGGTATTGTGGTCTGTTGCTCTGAGTCCCATAAATACTGATTTTCAGATATTGACCTGCCCAGAAGTCCAGGGTTAAATTTAGAGTAGTTTTGTGGCACTTGGGTACATTGCTGCTTTAATATCTGGTTGGCATGAATACTAATAGCCAGGCAGGACAGTTAGCTCTCTGGTTAAAAAGACAACATAAGTCATGGATAGACTGAGAGAGATTTGGAGAGCTGAAAGAACATAGATGGGGCAGGAGGCCGAGGAGGCCCTGTGAAGGAGCAGAAGCGTGAAGTCAGTGTGTTCAGCTTATGAGTCTGTTTATTGTGAACAGAAGTTGTACCAGTGATTCACTGAAAATAGGCCAGTAGCCTTAGCCTGTTTCTGGAAAACAGAACAAAACCACAATTAGATAGTTTTCATATTAGCAAATGAAGAGTATAAAGAAGTGAAACAGAGGCAAACATTGGTTTTGTCTCTAATACTCAAAGGTTAAGTTGTGCAAGACAAGATGAAGGCCTGCTAGTGGAATGCTTGTGAAGTGTTGGCTGTGACTAGTTAAGGGCATTGTGGTTGAAGGTTGGCTGGTTCATTAATTGTTCATTAATGGTTACTAGCTTATTATTACTTTAGGATCTTCCTTAAAATACTTGTACTCTAGGTTTTGGATGAGCAATGGAATATGTACATGTGCCTCCAAAATTAGGCAAATGATCTTCATCTGCTTTCTTTACTGTGCCAGGTGTCAACAGTTCACTAAATAACATCAGCCACTTTTAGCTCTGTAGGGCCTACACCTTTTTTTGTTATTGATCCAGAAACTTATTATTAAGAGTTAGATCCCTGTTAGAACATTCACTTGGTGGATATAAGGGATAGGTCAAGTCCTTACGTACGTGATGAATTAGTCTTGCCAGTATAAAAGCATGTATACGTTTTGAAGATCTGAAAAAAATTATCCGCAGTTAAGCAGATACTGGATTGATCTGTCCCTAGCTCTGCAGATTGAAGAGTTGCTGACTGCTTCTGCCATGTGTGTATTTAAACAGAAGCCCTCTTTTCATAGTCTGTTGTTATATCCTCTCTGATCTCACATAGGAGTCATAATGTTGAGTTTGAAATATGTCAATTCCATGACTACAAATTAATATCAGAAAGACATTTAACATTACTTGATTTCATCCAACAGAGAATGGAAGTGTGTGAGAGTATTTTCTAAGCTGAGTAGTTAAAAGCAATTAAAGGAAAGCAGGTAAATATTATCCAAATAAAACATACAAAGGCTTTGCCTTTGCAGGATGTGGGGCTTTTGGTTAGCACTAAGAGTTTTCTCCTTAAACTCACTGTTTGGAGCATGCCGCAGACAATACTAATTTTTTTTCTAACATTATTTTTTAAATATTCAGTTAAACTGTTTTCACACCAGCAGAGTTTAGGTAGCTTGGTAGACAGTAGTAACGTTTCACCTAATTTCTGGTCATGTGAGGTGATCTCTTCTAATGGCAAGAAACTTGAAAACTGAGAAAATATAGATCCTTACAACTGAACCGAAAGTCCAAGGTATTTCACACTTGTTTCTGAAATCATATTGTGGTAGGAAGGGAGGTGCGTGATGAGTTTGAAATCATGAAGACAATATTTATGTGTTTTTCAGTGATTGTTTTCCTGTTCCTTGACCAGTTGAGCCTTATATATAGCAGACTGTATTAACTAGTAATACTGGGTTTCTTAGTCTCTTGTAGTGCTGCAATGATGGAGAGCTGTTGTGTTGTGCTGATGAATGCCTTTCTATGCTGTTTGTTGTTACAGCACCTTGTGTTTTGATGCAAGATAACTTTTTGTAGGGGGAACAAAACCTCACAAAAGATATTTTCACCCAAGTCAGTTTCTTTAATGTTAAACTGCAGTTTCAACCTTACACTGTATCAAGGACATATGAGTGAAAGCAGGGCTATGTGAGAGTTATGGAGTGTGTTAAGATTTGTGGAATATATATTTATTTTGTAAGGGTTGGGAACATGTGAACTTAGAGTTGAGAGCAATGAAAAAAATGGTTTAGCATCCCCATAAGAGAGGACAAAGAGGAAGAGGATAGCATGTGTCAGTTTTTTTTCTGTGAGAAAGATCTGAACTGCAAGCTGAAAAAAGTTTACAAATGGGCTGTGTCCTGCACTATAAACTTCTGTACTTTGAAGTTTCCACCTCTCACCATTTCTTTCTCCACTGTACATAAGGGCAGGAACTCATCTGAACCTTTCAAGCAGAGTCACGTTCAAGAAACACTTTTTCAGGTTCAGGAAGGTTAAAAGAAGTACTCATGCATGAGGTGAGCATGGATCTGTTGAAGACACAATGTGGAGTGGAAAAGGCATAGAGCAAGCAGAGAAGAGTGCGTGTCACTGGAGATGCGGTATTGCACATAAGAAATCTAGTGCTATAGTAGGACAGCTGTCTGAGGAAATGCATCTCCAAAATATTGATTTCCAGTGTTTGATTTTGAGGCATTTTTTTTCTACTTTTTTTGTCAGAGCTGTTTTGTCTTTACGATGAACATGTAGTAGTGTTCTGTGAAGTTTCTAATATTTTTGTTTCCAAATTGCAGCTTGCAGTCAAGAGTGACAATTCTGAGATCACGTAACTACTTACAATGTGTGGTATGGTTTGCTTTTAATGTATAGAGTCACCCTTTTTTACTACCTGTGTATGGTGACAAACTGTAATGGGGAAAGCTCAGAATTATGTTGGTAGAGTTAGCTTCAGTTTCACTGTCCCACCATGTATTCAACATTGCCGCAAGCCTCAAGGAGCAACTCTTAGTCTATTTGCTTATAACTTTGACCAAGTGTAACAGCATTGGTTGGAAGTTTCTGTGCTTTACTCTGCCTCAGTGTTTGCAATTTCAAGTATCTCTAGAGCTTTTCCAGTAGATGTGCCTTTGTTAGGCATGGCTTTTACGATCTTCGTGAATATTTGTTTATGATTAATGGAGCTGTCAATATATGAGTACTTTTGGATCATACATTCACAAAACAAACCACTTTGTTTCTGTCCTGCTGATATACCAACAAATCTTCAGCATGAAACTGAGGAGGGTTTTCCCTGCAATTACATCTTTTCATGACTTAACTGAGAACAAGAAGGCTTTCTTGTGCCTGTGGCTTACTTGCTCATGCCTCAGAGTAAAGGGCTTCCTTAGTATTCTGGGTAGAGGGACAGCTGAAATTCTGTCTCATCTCTTGGTCAGGGGCTCAGCTTCATTTTAGTTCTTGCACCACAAGTTGCTTTGGCTGCTTCTGAAATGTATGTGGGTCCAAGGGATTTTTTTCAGACTTTGGTTTCCACTTCAATTTACTGGCAATTTTAAAAAGCTTAACTGATAGGGCATGACACTTTCTGACGTTTACATAACTTTTGCCTCAGCACTTAGTTTCACTCAGCAGTTTGGGGAGAGGGTGGATGTTCCTCCTGTGTTGGAGTAGTCAACAGGATTTTCAATGGTAGAGATATGTTTCCAGTAAGTATAAGTTTTCTTTGTTCTGTGTCGAAGTGGTAATGCTTGGTCTCTGGAAAGATCGTATTGTGGCCTTTCAATATACAAAGGAGGCTTATGAGAAAGATGGAGAGAGACTTTACCATGTCCTATAATGACAGGACAATGGGCAATGATCTTAAACAGAAAAGGCATAGATTTTTTTGTATATAAAAAAGACACTTTCTATGATGAGTGGTGAGACACTGGAATGGGTTACTCAGAGAAGCTGTAGATGTGCCATCATTGCAGGTGTTTAAAGTTCAGTTGGATGCAGCTTTAAGGAACCTGATCTAATGACAGGAAGGTTGGAATAGATGACTTTTGATCCCTTTCAACACAATCATGCTACGTTTCTACTACTGGACTGCCAATATTCAAGTCTTGAGCAGTTTAGTTTCTGATTTGTGTTGTTTGTAGTATCTGATAGTAAGACTGCTCTGGTTTATAGTCAGAGGTTTGTTAGCTACAACTTATCCACTGACTGCTGTTTACCGAATGACTAGCCAGTCATACAGTTTTATTCATGACTTTTTAGTCTGTATAGTTCCTATTAGGAGTTGTGGCCCAGTCCAGATGCCAGAAAACATTCAGATTTTCTTTGAGGTTCATCCATTCATGAATCAACCACGCAACTATAAGGTAGAAAACATTTTTTTAATAGACAAGCTGAAACTCTTCTGATCTTTAGGTCTTGTGAAACCCGGAAGATTCAATAACTAGCTCATTTCAAACTGCTTTATAGCTTTACATTCATAGTTAGTATGTATCTTTAAAATTAGTTATCATTTAACCCAGGTTTTGTTACACAGTATTTTGTGTTTTGAAACTTACTATGTATTTCTTTTCTGAAAAACGAGCTGGTGTTGATTTGATTTTTTAAGCTTAGAACGGTTATTTAGCACTGGATGAGCTTTTCTTCAAGATGCATCTGTGTTGGTGCAGGAGGGAGGTGATTCAAATTGTGCCCTTAACTTACTTCCCCTTTCCCCATAAGTACTTAATTTTCCTCACTTTCCACTACTGCTTATAGGTTTCGCTGAGTTTGGGGAAGAGTCAACAGTATCGAGAGAACTATGAGAAGAGACTCTAGGCAAGATGGATTTCAGTCTGTGTACAGTGGTGTGCTTTTGTCTGTTAGGATAATTTTAGGAATTTTAATAACAAGTATTATTTTCCTGAAGTAATAAATTCTGAAATGAATGCTGTTGCTGATACAGACACTGAAAGTATAATGAGGTGCTTGTAATTCGTGGCATGGATTAGGGTTATTTATAATTTTAGTACAATCTCAATTTTGGTTTTGCAGGTTTGGACTAAGCAACAAATTTGAAGCAGAATTTCCTTCATCTTTAACTGGAAAGGTGAGTATCTTTGAATGGGACCTTGAAATCGGAGTTAAGATTTTATTACAAAAACAGGTGTTCCAAGTATAGACCGCTTTAAAAGTAAAAAATTTCACTGCTGGAGTACTAGTTTTTTTGTTCTTTTTTTTTTTTCATTGTAGGTTGCACCTGAAGAATTTAAAGCCAGCATCAGTAGAGTTAACAGTTGTCTTAAGAAGAATCTTCCAGTTAATGTACGATGGCTACTATGTGGATGCCTTTGCTGCTGCTGCACTTTAGGTTGTAGTATGTGGCCAGTTATCTGCCTCAGTAAAAGAGTAAGTTGAATTATTCATATAGTTTTTGATAGTTACAATCATACTGGCTTTATTCTCATTTTGATTTACTTTTTTTTTTCCTCCTCCACCATTAAAAGCTTTGTGCTAGAATTTACTTAAATCAATTTTATTTCATACATTTTGATATCAGTTGTCTACCATACTGGTTAAAGTTACAAAAGATACCAGCTAGGACTTTGAGCTTATAACTCAATGAGAGGTAGTATAGCTGAATATCTCTCCTAGAACCATCCACTGTACAGTTCTTATTGTTATTGAACTAATGTTCAACATGTTTTTTTAATAGCTGCATCTTCTCTGTGATGCACTGAGTTTATCAGAATTTGGCAGTCATTGAGTGACAGGTTGCTTTTGAGGAGCTTCTTATTACACTGTGGCCCAAGTAACCATATATTTTTGTTTAAAAAGGCTGTTTTTAAAAAGGATAATTGATATTTCTTTTTGGATTTTCCTTCCAAGTTGTAGATAAGTAAGATTCTTTTTTTTTACATTAAGAACTTGAAACTGGCGTTTTGTCTGTGTACACTTGGCACTTAGTACTGTCCATAACAAAAGCTCATTACATGTGCCTGGTTTTCACTTCCTTTCCCTCAATGCAGTTAAGTAGGCTACCCTCCCACCTTTTGTGTTTTTGTGTGTGTAAAAATTGTCTTTGACTAGTTCTATTTCACTGCTTTACAAGAAGTCTCTGTGCCTCCCCATCGTTTCCTCACTATTTATTATTGTTCATCTTTCCATTTCATGGCAGGGTTTGTGTATATTCTGTGTTGTCTAATACCTCTTAATGCTACAACTTTTGTACAGTTCAGTACACTGAACATCATCATGTTTTTCTCTATAGAAGTCCTCATTTTATAGGGTCAATAAATGAAAGCATTCTAAAAAGTGTAGGGTGAACAGTAATTGTAATAAAACCTTTGTATTTTTATATCATCTAACTTCCTGTGTTAAGATCTTAATGCTTAGTCTGTTTAAGAGATTACTTAAGTCTAGTTTTAACTGTATGCAAAATAAAGTAGAAAAGCCTCCTGGTAATGTTGGTGTCTGTGGAGAAAAATCACAAAAATAACCAAAATAAAAATATTGGTGTCAGTGGGAATTATACCAAACATGAGGTTTTCTGTCTTCAAGCTGTTACAAACTAGTAAGTCTCCTGAAGCATGACTGTATATCCATAGCCCAAAAGTCTGCTAGAATAAATTAGAATCTGGTGATTGCTTCAACAGGTTAGTTGGTGACTTAACTAGCTTGCATAGAAGACTACCTTTACCATTCTAGGTCTAGTTCTGTTCGTTACAAACACAAGGGAAGCTTGCATTGCTACTGTCCATGCTTACCTTCTAAATGAAGATGCTTCTGATGCTCTGTAGTTTGACCCATTTTTCTTATATAATGGGTTGTAGCAGGAAATGATAACAGGATGTAACCTGGTAGGGGCCGATGTTGCAAACTCTCATCTTCTAAACTGGGCCCTCTTAATCTATTATTAGAATAGATTCACAAGTAAACAACTTTTTATACACTGTTAAACAGAGTCAGAAAAAATACAAGGGCTTCTAGCATCTGGGGTCAGAAAAGAGCATTTGAAGCTGAGGAGAGAGATTCTGTGTGGGAACTTTGTGAAGCAACAGTTAGAGAAGTTCTGTTGAAGTTTTCATGGGATAAGGTAAAAGAGTAAACTCCTTCCAAAAGGATAGATCTGAAAAAAAAAAAAACCAACCATGTATGCTTTGTTTAGAGGAGTTTGGAAAGAGGGTAGTGGTGTCATTGTTGCTGTAATATACAGAGACTGGATATAAACACAAGTGTCTTGAGAAAAGAATGGACAGCAGGAGCATGAACACAGACTTGGGGCTGAAGTTCTGTGAGTCATCCTAGACGTCTGGCCCAGATTGTCTGTAAATGTTGCATTTTTCCTGTTAAAGCAGGTACCAGAAGACATTTAAGGACCTTTGCACCTTTTTCTGCACTTGGATGTCCAGCATTAGTGAAATTGATCTTTGGACTCAGCTGTCCAAACACTGTAGATGGCACAATGGCACTAGACACTGATGGCACTCAATGCCTGTGTTTAGGCAGTTTGATTATTCCTCCAGAGTAAAAGTCATTTAAGTCAATCTGGGGATTTCTGATCAACATCATTTGTCCATATCAGCAGTTCAGAAAATGGATGTGTGCTTAGAGAGAGCTCAGAACTTGGTGTCTGTTGGGCATCTGGAAGGTTAAATATATAGAAGAATTAATTAGCTTGTGTTCTTAAGGACAAAGTGAAATGGAAAAGAGTGCTTTCCCAAACTCTTAACTCTTAACTCTTAATCCTGGAAACGGGTGGGAAAGAATATTTTTTTTTGGTAGAGAAGGTAAGGAGAAAAGCTGTGGAATATATCTGAAGGACATATTTGGAAATTCTACTATAACCAACAAGCGGAAGAATTTTTAATTGTTCTAGTCAGGGCTACTACTGACAGAAAAACAGTGAAAAGTTACTGTCACCTGAGTTGCTTGTACAGGTATGGGTGGATTCAACTTTGTCTTGGCAGATAGACCCAGAGCAGGAAAATACCAAGTGATATAAATCCTTTAAATCCCTCTTACATGGAATTACAGGTTTTGTACCCTTTAAGATCTCAGTACTGAATTGCATCCACAAGCTTGTAAGATTTTTCTTTTATGCAGGACTTTCCATCAGTTTGTTGAAGTGCTGTGACAAGTGCAGGAACTAATGATATGTATTTTCCTAGAAGTGGGGAAAATGAGAGTGCGTTACCTGGAGCTGCTCAGCAAATTGACAGCAGTTGTAAATACTACCTCATTCATCTATGTTCCAATCTTCTATTTGCTCAGTAGATTCCAGTAGAACTGTAACTTCATATTCTTCCACTAAAAAAAAGTAAACCCATAGACTATTTTGGTTTGCTGCTAGTGTTGCAGTTTTGCTGATACATAAGACTAATGTATTCAATATGAAGTACTCACTAACATTTGAACTCTTGAACTGCTCATGTCTGACTTGAACTGTATCTTGGAAAAGGGTTATGTTGATCAAATGATCTTTCATGCTTTGACTTCCTTTTACTGTCCAGACTCAACCATAGGTATAGTCACAACAGCCAGGATTCACTTTTTGAGGAAACATGTTCTTGTTTCTTCCCTTTAACTTTTAGATACAGTGAATTATTTCCCACTAGTGCTCATATTGTAAACCAAGTATAACAAATGATCAATAAACAAAGTGTTGCTTATTTTACAGTACCTACACTTGTCCAAAAAGTGTTACCCAGAGAGCTTTCATAATTCAGTCCTGTCCTAAGTGATTCCTAATGAAAGGCCAGTTACTTGGAACTGATCTGTGTTATATCCTTTGCTGCAGTGATCACAAAAGACTCCCAAGACCGTACAATTAGAGTTTGATTTCTGAAAGCAGGATGGGAGCGTTCCCGTCCTGAAATTTGTGTAGATCATGTCTTAATTGCACAATAAAAATGTACAAGCCTTCATCTTTGCCCTTTTCTACTAAAATGGAAGATGAACACATTTGTTTTGTTAAATTACATATACAGTGAGCTAGCAAGTGGGAGTGTTTCTCAAGGATTTTATTAAATGAAACAATAGTTTCAACTGTACAATTGCTTACTTTTAATATAGAAGAGTAATTTTTTTCAGAATGACCAATTCAGAAATGTCTGGTTTAAAGAATCTGAATCAATCTACCATACTCTTAAATTCCTGTGGTACTTTGTAAAAAAAGCAGCTTCAGAGTTTGTGAAGTTACAATAATTCTCTTAGTCTTTCTCTGAATTCTGTATTTTTACTGCCTTTCATTGACTTTTTAAATTCTAGCGTGGGAATGTTATCACAAATTTAAATAAGATTTTTGAGGTTACAGACAGTTATTGAAAGTTTGTGTATAGTTGGAATACATGCTTATTTTTGTGCAGTGAGAAATAAGGTAACGGTTTGTCTCCTTAAATCATCAGGTGCTTCAAACTAGGAATTTATTGTCACAGACATTTTTAAGCTTAGTTGTTAATGATATCACTTTAATGCGTTTCCATGCAATAAAAGCCTTCCCTTCACTGAATTTTTCTTTGAAATGCTTTGTTCAGTGCTAGTTTTGTAAGTCTTTGTACAGTGTTGTTTCCTTTCTTCATTTGCATTGAGGTATTTGAGAAAAAACCTGCTACTCTTCACCAGTAAAATAAGTGTTTTATTTGATTCAGTATCTTACTACCTCTCTCCTTTTATGTGTCTTGATTCGATTTTAATGAATAAAAGCTGCAAGAAAGTTGCAGGAAGTAGTCCCTCATTTGCAGATCTACATCATCAATGATCTTCAGCAGTTTTACTCATAGATTGCACCATAGTTTCTGGGACAAGTTCCAGATTGTACAAATGAACTTTAAGTCTTTTAGGTTATTGTTCTTTAAGTAAAAAGAGTGTGAATTATAATTCAAAAAGCGCTGCAGACTGAGGTACCCATTTGAAGCCACTTTTCAAATGAATTGGCACTTATTTTCAGTATTAACTAAATGCTGTAGTTCCTGATGTGTAAATAGGATATATAATTTCAACAGAAACCGTAACAATGAAAACTATGATAGAATTGCAATACTGCTAGATTTTTAAAAGCTAGTATTGTACAAGTAAATTGCATGTTTCAAAAGCTTTATGGACAATCTCTTAAAATGAATAGAATTAGATATTTAATAGTGATCTGTATTAATACTTTCAAGAGCTGCTTGTTTGTTTGTGAATTCACACAAAGCTGATGAATGCTGCTTAAGCCTCATCATTAGTTGTCACATAGCAGTTCACATCTTCAGAGTGCTGTATAAACATAAGCTAATTACAATGTCCCAAGTATTGATTAAATTAAGTATGTGGTGGAGGAGCTGGAATGAATTTTCTTAAATACAGTAGTCTTGCTTGTCAATGGATGATACTGTTGTTAAAATACATTAGCTCCGTTTATTGAAGCT